TTATAATTCATAAATCTGTCTTTGAGATTGTATTGCTAATAATACATTGCTCATAAACTTATCTTTGACTTTGTATTACTAATAATATATTGTTCAACACATTTATCTTTCATTCGTATTGTGGATAATACGAATATTAAATCTTATATTCTGACTTCAAAGATTTAAAGATGTTTTTAATACATACATTATATTTGATATTGAAATTTTGGGACTCTTTCCAGCAGTCCAGTTATTGCGTTAAAAGAACACAACTGTTATCTTCTTTAAGTGATTCTATAAGTACTTGTTGTATTTTAATTCATATTCAGTCTAAAGCCATAAAGTATTATTAGACTTTAAATTGTCGTTAAGACATTAGAAGTTTCCCTTTGAATATTTCTTAAATTTTATGAATACCTTTGAGTATTTCGAAAGTCCCATCAAAACGGTAACAATATTATCGAACCAATTACGTAGTCTAATTATCATTATGACTAATTTTTATCATGCCGCTTCTTTTGTTCACATGTTCTTTTGAAATTATGATCGATATTGAATCAGTGACAATATGTAACGTGCCTATAACTCTGTAAGCTGGCAAATGCTCGAATTGTCACTAATTCATATAAAAATGAATTCTATTTACATCAACCTCTGCAAAAGCATAACTTTCATCAAAATCAAATTCTCACTGCTTATGATCACACTTCTTCATATCACATAGAAGATAAACTGGATCAGGGAGAAGTTAACGTTTCAATCTTATGGTGCATTTTTTATGATCCTTTATTATGTCTCATCAAAACTTGCCATTTTCAACAAGATTACTCTTTGTCCATTACTTGGATAACTTTTCCATCTCTTCCCAAACACACCAACAATATTATTCTTAATAATCTTGCTTTTGTAGATGACACTGTTTGAATCGCAAATAATTACCAATCTATACAGAAATTCTGGATACTGCAGCATAATTTTACAAAATGTATGACATAAAAATTAATTTAAAAAAAAACAAAAACTATATACTCTAGAAACTCAGAACTACCTCCTAATATCACACTATATATTAAATTATCTCTCAACCAAATACAAATTCTTCCTCCTTATGTCTACACAAAATATCTATCAATATAAATGAAACTTTTAATACTCAACTACAAAAAATCAAATCTGAGTTTTCTTTATTTCTAACTTATTATCAAGAAAACACATAATAGATAAACAAGTCATTTATATATTTAATTGAGTATTCATTCCAGTCTTTGAATATCGTACACAACTTTTCACTATATCAAAATCTGAATGTGAATCACTTATGCACCAATATTCTTTTTCTAAGCTAAGATACATATTGTATTTATACAAATTATTGTTACTTGACCTTCAATTATTAAAGCTATTTTTGATTGATATTAAGATTACAAAAAGCGCTCGTTCAATAGTTGCGCATCGCTTGCTCACTTAATGATTGTACATCACTCACTCTAATGTTACATAAATTTCATCATTAATATTAATCAAATTTGGTTATGTAGATTAATTAACACGTGCTTTTCATATTAATAATAATAATATGAATTAAATATGATTAGTATAAATTATAAATAATATAGAATAGAGTAATATAAAAATAGAATGAAATAGAATGAAATAATATAAATATAGAATGAAATAATATGAAAATAAAATGAAATAGTATGAAAATAATATGAATTAGTATGAAATAAATCAATTATCTAATGAAAATTAATTATGAAAAGTCATGTAATATACTAAAATTCATATCACAATAATATTACACATAAACGTCAAATAATTTCAAATTTGTTCAATAAGAATATAATAAATTAAATAATAAATAATTAAATTAAATTAAATTATTAAAAATATTACATATAATAAAAGTAATTAATGAAATAACTATATTATAGAATATTTGAATCATAATACTAAATAATTGCAATATGAGATATGAAAAAATATGTAATTAGTTAAAAATGTAATTCTTATGATTTTTGTATAATTATAAATAATGATCTGTTACTTTATCAAAAAAATTCAAAAATAATATAACACTAATTTTTTTTAAAGATATTATAATATTTTAATATTGAAATTGATAATAATAAATTAGATTTTAAATTATTAAATAAATCCTATTGATATATTGTATTTATTAATTAAAAACAAATTTTATTATAAATTTACCTAAATAAATATATTTAAAAAATTTAGTTTAAGTGTTGTATTCTTTTTGATTGCTATTGTATATAATAAATATAATAAGTATAATATAAATAATAGATAGAATATTTTAGCTAAATTTAATAAATATAATAAAGATAATATTTATAAAATGTTGAAAATGTTTTTAAAGCATTAAGAAATTAAAAAATTAAAAAATTATACAAATATATAAATTATAATAAATAATAAATAATAAATCACATGTAAGATCACATGTACAAGCCAAATTTATCCAATAGAAATATAAATAATTAAATATTAAATGTTAAATATAATAAAAATAATTAATTATCAATAAAATAATTATGTTATAGAATATTTGGATCTTGACAACATCAAGAACTTAAAGCCTATAAAAATGGTAACTATTCTCCTAATAAACATGCATTAATTACTTGTTTATTTTGTTGTTTTTGATAAGCTTTCTTAATATTATTCCTAGTAACAACAGGATAATCTTTTAAGTATTAGATATATTGAATAATAAAGTCAATTTGATCCATGTTTATCAATTGTAAGAAAAAAGTGTGTATGTTTTTATATAGTAAACTAGTCGTGACAAAAAAATTCCTCGATCACGTGATAACAGAAATTAATGTTAAAGGATATTTTATTAGAATGAAGAACAAGATTATATATAAAATTATTTTTCCGACATTTTTATTAATGCTTCAAGTCAGATTTTGATATCTGTGTTGGATTTGTTTTGCCGGGCTAATAAAAAATTTGCTCATTCTTATTGGTTTGCGCCACTCGAAAGAACGTTCTTATTGGATTACACCACAACTTCCAGCATCGCCAACAAAAAACACGCAAACCAAGTGAATAATATAAAAAATACGAAAAACAGATGTCAAAATCTGGCTTGAAGCATTAACAAAAAATGTCGGGAAGGCAACCATACCCTAACCCGAACGATAAATAGCCTTTAACGTTAATTTTCCGTGCTCACTTGAGCGTGTTTTTTTGTTAGCGATGCTGGGAAGTTATTACACCACAACGCTCACGTGTTCGAGGAATTTTTCTGCCACTACCCGAATTTTTGGAAATAGGATCGTCGCGTTACACGTAATGATATAAATGGTGTTTTTGGTGAGAAAACGTTAGGTTAATTATCTTAATTATAAATTCGCAATATGTACTTTGATACCGTGAAAAGATCTTACGAAGACGTATTCATAGATCCGGAAAAGGGTATATCAACTATACAGTTCTCGGAAGCTACCGAAGGTCTTGTTCTTCTGTTTGGTGAGTATCAATCGTGATGTGTGATTATATGAAAATTTCAGAAAATGTCTAGTAGTAAGATTTTGATGTGTTATATTACTATCCATCTTGTTTCACCCAACTTGAAGTATTGAGAACGCGTTCGTCTCAGGTTACACGTCATGATATTTTTACAGTGTGATGCTCATAAGAGGGGGAGTAGTAGTAGTCTTTACGACACTGAAGAAATTTGAACATAGTTTTTTATGGTCAATTATTTCTTTTTTTTCTAGATCTCTTAGAGTCGAGCGCTTTCAGTATAGTGCAAAATGATATGAATGGAAATTTAAAGGTAGTTGATTTAATAACCATTTAATTGTTGATTTGATAATAAACTATTTTATCTATATCTTATAAATGATCTCTTTCAATGTATTAAGAAAATTCAAACAAAGTATCTGACTGACACAGAGGCAAACGATACTCTTGAACATTTGGTGATCAATGAACAAGGCCAAAAGAAACGTGAAGCTACTGAAGGATTGTTATGGCTAAAACGGTAGATTAATATTTGAATCTCGATTTATTTTAATTGGTAATTTGAATTGGTTAAATTTATTAACTCCATCGTATGAAAATAAATAAAAAGAGGATTGGAATTTACCGCTGTAGCTCTTCGTCGTTCCATCGAAAATCCCGATGAAGAACTCTCAATATCGTTTACCGAAGCATATAAGATAACATTGAAAAAGTTTCATGGCATGCTAATTAGGCCTGTCTTTATCGTATGTATTATGTCAAACTCAAATAATAATATATGTTAATTTTTATGGTGAGATAAAATCATTATTTTATTATTTTACAGTTGGCTATGAAAGCGTGTCCATATCGAGCTGATTTCTACAAGAAATTAGGCGAAGATCAAGAATTAGTTCAACAAAAACTAGCTGCTTGGTTAACGGCACTCGAAGCAGTCGTAGCAAGGTTGAATTCATTCTATGAAGCCGGGGGGCATGATAAAGGGTTTTGAGAGAATTTCTATTTTTCAAGACTAATTAATTATGCTAATTGTATTTCGTCTATGAATACTGTTTTTTATTTTTATTTATCTTTTATCGTAGAATTAGTAGACTGGAAAAATATGCGTCCAGCTTTCAAGAATTTAATTTAATTGATTGTTTGTGTAAAGATAGATTTTTCATATAAAGCTAATCTGCTAAATATATAATGTTAATGATCTAATGATTTTGTATGGAAACCTTTTTTATGCATTAGACGATCAAATAATGCTATTGTAACATAACGATAGATGAATATATACCATCACGATCAGGTTTCTTTATAATCTAAATACTTACTACAAAAATGGCCATTCCTGAAAATCTTATTGAACTAAATTCACAAGAAGAATTAGAGAAACTTGTCAACGCGAACAAAAGTTCCGTTGTTGTTCTTGACTTTTGGGCTTCTTTTGTGCCGGCATGCAACCAAATGAACGATGTGTTTGTTGAACTAGCTAGGAAACACACCGCTTTGAAATTTGTTAAAGTAATGCTGTTATACCTCGTAAAAACTATGCATCTTCATTTCTAAACTTAATATTTTATTACTGAACTTTCAAAATGAAGATCGAAGCAGAAAAATTTCCAGAAGTATCAGAGTCTTTGGAAATTGTTGCTGTGCCAGTGTTTGTAGTGCTTAAAGTATTTTTCAATTTTCATTTTTTATTCAACTATTTATCTTGATTTTTGGTGCTTACCCTCATTATTTGATATATTCAGAATGGAAAATCTGCAGCACGTGTTGAAGGAGCAAATGCGCCAAAGCTTTCTGAAGTGGTAGAAAAGTATTCTAAAATTGCTGAATCGACGACTACATTGTTTACTGGACAATCTACATCTAAAGCAGCAGATTCATCGACATCATCTACAGCAACAAGTAAAGGTGATTTGAATACTCGACTAAAGACTTTGATTAATAGTGCGCCTGTGCTAGTGTTTATTAAGGTAAATTTTTAGTAGCTGGCTATTTTGGTGGTGATGAATGCGAGTTAATATGCTAATGCATAGGGAACACCAAGTCAACCACGTTGCGGATTCTCCAGACAAATTATTGATATTCTTAATGAGAATAAAGTCAAATTTAGTTCATTTAATATTTTGGCTGATGAAGAAATAAGACAAGGTATTATTATTAGCTATTATAACACTTGATTTTTTCTCAAATTATCACGAATTATTGTTTATCGAATATATATATATATATATATCAATTTTTTATACAGGTTTAAAAACATACTCCAATTGGCCCACATACCCACAACTCTACGTGAACGGTGAATTAGTGGGTGGATTAGATATCGTAAAAGAATTAGTGGCATTGGGGGAATTTCAGTCAATGGTTCCAAAGGAAAAAGATTTAAATGAACGCTTACAAGAGTTAACGACACATGCTGATGTGGTGGTATTCATAAAGGGTGTACCTAATGCACCGCGTTGTGGATTTTCAAAGTGAGTTTGTTATTTGATGGATTGTTGATTAGTCTTTTAAGCAATATATTTAAATTTGTAATACTTAGGCAACTCGTAAATATTCTTGATCAAAAGAATATAAAATACGAACATTTTGATATACTGACAGACGAGGAAGTACGCCAAGGTAAAAAGAGATATCTATTATTATAAATTCGTCTCATTATTAATTCACCAATTCACTAATTTGGGAAAAAATTTTCAGGATTAAAAACTTTTGCAAATTGGCCCACCTACCCAATGGTATTTCATAAAGGCGAGTTGATTGGTGGTCTAGATATTATCAAAGAATTGGATGATACTGGGGAATTACCAAAAATGTTGGCGTGAAATTTTATTTATTTGTTCAAGTTCTTTTAATATTTGAGTATTTAGAAATCTAGATAAAGAAATACTATACTTCATTTTGAAATGTCAAATAAAAAATTCGACTTTTGAGAGAAAGCCAGCTAGTAAATAAATTAGTATTATTGTGCCCCAAATCACAATCAGCCCAAATTAAAATAGTAATATGACCGGAGTTAGGGTAAGGGTTAGGGTTAGTACTGAGCGTGAGGGATAGGCTATATTTGATTTGGGATATATCCCAATTGTTAATTGAGGCAGATTGTGGTTTGGTAATGTAAATTTAGCCTAAATTATTTGTTCACTATATGTATCTTATTGGCCAGTATTATTGACGTTGAGTGTTAGTTATTTCTGCACGGATATGGTACACAATGGAATGACTAATAAATGAAATGACTATAATAATAATAATAATGTATAACGGTGGCAGTGGCAAACCTATATAAATACTCATTCACTACTTTGCCTTCAATTTACAAGTTTACTATAGCAATTTCCCTCACACTTAACAATGTTAGCAAAGTGTTGTTTATGCATTGACCTAAAGTAAGAAAATACTTTGCTAAATTTACCTTATTCAATTTTGTTTTTACAATTTATTAATTAAAATCTATTTTTATCTTTTGAATTTATAAAGGACAGGCACTCTCATTTTAGCTTCGCTTGGTGTTGTGAGTACTTTTTAATATATATTTCGCATTTCCAAAGAAAAAAGAAGTTTGAACTGGATTTAATATTTGTATTATAGGTACTAAACTTTATCAATGCCTGGAGATTTTCGGGCATGGCTAGTGAACGGCTTGGTACTGTTTACTCAGCCTTGGCTACTTATTATCTAGTGATAAGTGTTATTTGTGCTGTTGGTTTTATCGGTGTATCGAAGGTAAGTAGAAAGAATTTTTTTTATGGAAATATCTTCTGCACCTCGAAATATTACTAAAAAATAAAAATTTTTTTCAGAAAAAAATCAATTATGTCAGACTATTTGCATACTATTATTGGTGCGAACTTTTTTTAGGATTTATACTTTCGATTGTATTCTCAGTGTTGGCCTTCCACTTCGATAAAGATATCTGTCAAAAGGTGATTGAGCAGCCAGATGTTGATATCGATTTCGATACTTGTATGAAAATGTACGTTCAGACTGTTTCGTCTCTGATCATCTTGTTGGGATTAACTTGCTTGATTGAGGTAATTTATTTGATATCTCGTTTTCTAAATTTGGGTTCGAGAAATGAGATAGTTTTCTTATTGCTAAATAAATATTTTAATTTTGTTATTCAATAGTTCCATTTCTGTCTCGCTGTCTGGGCCTATTATCAGACCCTTCGCGCCGAATGTGGCGATCTTTCTGCAGTTGCCAACGTTTATTATTCATCAATTCCTGCATACGCTGTTATTCCCCCTCCTTCGTATGATTCAATTCCAGCCGCGACGGCAAAACGTCCTCCTCCAAGTGATTGATAGATAATTGTATTTAGTAATTGAATGTTTAGTTTTATCTCTTCAATGTTAAAATTTATATAGCTAACCCTTTTCCTTAAATAAAGTTTGATTTTCGTTTATAAAAGAGTGAATACTCCAAAAATTTATTGAAATCATTTGGCGAAAATATTTGTATGATGAGTTTCTCGACAGTATATAACTATTGGGATGAAATTGATTTCTAATATTATTGTAGTTGTTTTATCAGAATTATTGTTGCTTTCAAATTATTATTAAAATGAATACAAATGTGAATACAAATAAATATAAATATAAATATAAATATCTTCGTTATTGAAAAGCTACATCGAACTTTTGAGCTACGACTTTTCCGCCACCGCTTGCAAATCCAGTCCCTATGTGTGAATTCAATTAACAACAGTGTCGGAATCTCAAGTAAAATATATATAAGATGCTTTTTAATAATTTCAACAACATACCTTCGCCAGACATATCGGCAATATCCTTTTCTTTACATTTCGCCTCACACACAAAGCACCGATGAGCCTTACTTACAAATTTATCAACGCAAACGCCACATATTACGTGTCCACACGTTTTCAGTACTGCATAAATAATTTTTTTAATTTTATTGTTCCTTATAAAATTCTGTTCAACAGCGAATACACTTATACAATTACACATACAATTAATCTTTACTGTGTTTGTCAAACCCTTGCGACAAGAAGGACATACAAAACTTTTTTTCTTCGAGTTTATTTCCGCGACTTCAGTAAATTTCGTGGGAATAAGACTTTTGATACTAAACCAGAATGGAAGAAATGTATTAATTAATCATCGTGAAAATATTTTTAAATGGGAAAAGTTGAACTCGTTAGTTTACCTTATAGGGTGCTCAGACTCAGCTGCTGTGCACATGGTTTGACGTTTAATTGGTATAGTTTTATCGGGGTCAGCAGAAGGGGTAAGAGATGGCTAACAATTCCAATTGGATTAAATTAATTAAACCATTTAATTATACAAAAATAGTAGTCAAAAAAAAATTATGTGCAACTCACCAGCCAAAAGTTTGGAAGCTTTGGTTTCGATGCTTTAATCTTTTTGTTATAAATTACGAATAATCAGTATTTGTATCGATAGGAGAGCTACAGTAACGAATAGTTACTTGTTTTTCTTCCAATCGTTTTAACGATTCTTCATGTTCACGCTTTGAAATCGCCAATATTTCATCTTCATCAAGTTGAAAACCCCTTTTTTTACCAGCAACTAAATAAAAAAAATATACATAAAGTCACATAAACTAGCAGATATTTAAAGCATAATCGAATAAAAAATCAAACCTTTTACTATTCCACTATCTTTTCCATATTTAGCTTCACTTTGAACAGAGCCTCGACGACTTTCCTGCTTTGTTTTATCTGTAGTAACGATATTATCCTCATCCTCTGTTAGCTTACTTTCATTGTCTTTTTCAATAACTTTGACTGACTTCGAAAAGGAAGCATCAGTAGGCGCAACTCTAACTTGCTGCCGTTCAAAATCGAGAATTAGCGCTTCCTTGGCTAATTCCTCTTTACGTTTAGCCGCCTCTTCCTCGTCTTTTTCTCGTTGTTCAAACAACAGTTGTTGCCGTTTAATTTCCTTCTTCTGTGCTAAAATGTTTTCGTAAATGCATTCTTTACAATATAGATGACCATGCGAACAACAAACTGGGTCACGAGCACGTTGTAGGCAAAGATAACAGGCGTCACATTCGCGCATTGAGTCACGTCCTAAACGTTGCTGGTGCGATGTTATTAATTAAAAAGAGTGAAAACTGGAAAAGTAAGGGAATTTGAAGAAATGAAAATGGTTTTTTCATCGTCTATTTTGTTGTATGTACCTTTTTTGTTCCATAGTTGAGTGCTTGACTTTCTGCATAGGTGAAAAAAGAGAGAGCTGTGTTGTTTTTGCTGTGACGCGGCATGGTGAGAATTGACTTTATGAGGAGGTATATAAGTCGAGGAGGTATATATTAATGTTAACGAGGCAAATTGGAAATGCATATGTTGATCTGTAATTCCTGACACGTTATATATTTGTGCTGATTTGATTGGCCATAACTCTAAAATATCTATAAACATTTCTCTCAAACTTCTCTGAACGCGAACTACTGAATAACAATAATAATGGCAAGAACAAAACTCTCTTCAAGACACTATCAACCAACACATGTCCTTGAGGAACCGCAAGAACAAAGTACCGATTCTCAAGAAGAAGGTCTGGGTGGCGAGTCGTCGTCGTATACACAGTCGCGTCAATTAGTTTTAGCGCAACAACGAAGAGAACAAATCCAAGAAACAGCAGTACTTCAAAGAGTGAATGTGTCGCAAGGAAGACGTGGCAGACGCCTTTGGACTGAACAAGAAACAAACTCGCTTATTGAAGGATGTAGAAAAGTATGTTGTTTGAAAACTTGCGTTTCTTTTTTTTCATTTAATAAATTAACAATATCTTTTATTATTCATTAAGCATGGAGTAGGGTCTTGGTCAAAGATACTCCACGATCGCAATTTTCATTTTGACAACCGTACATCAGGAGACTTGAAAGATAAGTTAGTATCTTATAGCTGAAGATTAATTAGACCATTGATATTGAGATTCAGGTATACTAAACTAGTTTGAAAAGGTTCCGTACATTATTCCCTAATGAATCAAGACACGGTCGTTTGATGAGCAGGAGTGCACGAACTGATTCCCAGATATCAATGGAACCTCCACCTGCTTTTCGCATTTTCAGACGAAGAGAAAGACGTTATTTCAGTGCTGAAGAAGATCGGAGGTTATTAGCTGGCGTCAGAAAACATGGCTGTGCGTGGACTAGAATTGCCAATGACCCTGAAATCGGTTTTGTTAATCAACGCAAAGGCACTGATTTACGGGATCGGTTTAGAAATGCTTTTCCCCAAGAATATGCAAAAATGGGATTTACCCTTCCTTTTCGAGTGCCTCTTCACGCAATAAATGATGTTAATGCGTTATATACTCCTCGACGTAGACTCCAATCATCTTCAAAGTATGAAGATGATGAAGATGGAGAAGAAGAAGATGGAGAAGAAGAAGATGGAGAAGAAGAAGAAGAAGAAGAGGAGGAGGAGGAGGAGGAGGAAGAAGACATAGAGGAAGAGGAAGAAATGGTGGAAGAAATGGTGGATGAGGTGGCGGAAAAGGAAGAAATGGTGGATGAGGTGGCGGAAAAGGAAGAAATGGTGAATGAGGTGGAGGAAGAAGAAATGGTGGAAGTGGAAGAAGATAAAGATGGAAGAAACAATGCTAAACAAAATGAAAACACTGAATCGCAAGAAATTTTGGAGCAAGAAAATAATCATATGGAAATTATAATGCAAGAAGAATCACCCGAGCCAGAATTGGAAATGCAAAAAGAATCACCCGAGCCAGAATGGGAAATGCAAGAAGAACCACCCGAGCCAGAATTGGAAATAGAAGAGCATGACATCATTAATAACGAGGACGAAGATAATGATCCAGTTCAAGCAGGAAACCATATAATTAACCATTATTCAAGGCCGTTTGTTTTATCAAATGAAGCGACACCCTCGTCGCCATCATCATCGTCATCATTGCCATCCTTATCAGACAACACATACTATCATCCTGCATATTTAACACGCTGTTATTTAGAAAATCCCGAAAAATGGCTTGAAGGCGTATCAGTATTAATTAACAAAAAGAATTCAACCAGTTCCAACTCAACTTTAAGTAATATTTCTTTCTTTACTTGGGATTCAAAATATGAAACGAACAGCAACAAGTGGATCGATTTTTCTGAAAATGAAGAAAATAATTCAATTCTGAATACACCTGCATATAATGGCGACCCAGATTCTCCCAGCTTTGATCTTTCCATTTCACGAAAAAGAAAAATTCTTGAAGATCAGAACCAAGCAGAAGGATCTAAACGTCGAAGAGAATAATTAATTTTATTAATGTATTGGGTTAAATAATTATAAACTAACAGTGTATTGTATTAAATTATCGGGAACCAAAATATAAACCATATTCAAATTAGTCACAACCAACGTTGGCAACTGGAATTATAAAAGCTGCGCCAATTGAAGTACTGGAGTTATAAAACTAACAACACTTGTTTCTCGGAAACTTGTAAAGATTTTTCTCGTAAATTGAACCAAACAAAATGCTCTTTATTACAGAAATTAAAGCGCGAGACCGAGGAAATATAAACGATTGGAGGAAAGCAGTCGAAAACTTTGATCTTTTATCAAAACACGATCTGAATAGTGTGATTGTTTTAATGCTAAAAGAGTTATTTAACTTATAAAGATCAAAGTTGGAGCGGGAGATATTGATTCAATAAATCAGAAATATACAAGAACTGTTCTGGATACGCGCATGCACGCAGAACAATGCACCTAATTTCACGCGTTTTTACATTGTTGTACAAATAATTAATTAATTAAAAATAATTAAATAAGTAAATAAATAATCAACAATGTTGATTGAAATTCCAAAATAATTCTCTCAAAAGTCAAACGTTTTTGTAAATAATTTAAAACCAATAATAGATTCTCGATCTTTTATAATTTTTTTTAATTGAGGCATTTGACATTAGAACATATAAAATGTCATCACCGAGTCCATTGCTTCCGTTTTCGTTTTTTACACTTGAAATAATATATTTGTTGATTGGATCAGGCGTTCTTGTCGTAAGCGGAGTGAGTTTTATTATTTATATAACGAACTCAATGTAGTTCGAACAAGCTTATTTGCGGAGCTAAAAGAAAATTTATTCATTGATAAGGTTCTATATTTTCTTTAGTTCGTGGGGTTTTTAATAGCAGTAGCTCCAAGACCACGTAAACGCACCGAAAAAGAAAAATACTATATGTCAGCAAAGTCTGAAAACCCTCAACTACTACCAAATATCTTTCAGGAGGCTACAACAGACTTAACAGTAGTCGTACCCGCTTATAATGAGGCAACGAGGCTGCCAAAAATGTTGGAAGAAACCGTTACGTTTTTGGAAGAACGTCGGAAACGTAAAGAATTCAAAGATTGGAAATACGAAATTCTGATAGTCAATGATGGAAGCACCGATTCGACTACAGACGCTACATTGGAATTTGGTAAGGAAAATCCAGATGTGGAATTAAGGGTTTTAATATTAGAAAAGAATCGTGGAAAAGGTGGAGCTGTTACACAGGTTGGTTAGTTAATTGTTTGGCATATTCACAATAAACTTTATTTTTACGTTATTATATAATGTAGGGCATGCTTTCGGCTGGTGGTAAATATGTATTGTTTGCGGATGCGGATGGTGCTACTAAATTTTCAGATCTAGCTTTATTAGAACAAGACCTTGCAGAAATTGAGACTGCCGATGGGTTCGGAGCCGCTGTTGGTTCTCGTGCTCACTTAGTTGAAACAGAGGCAGTTGTAAAAGTAAGTGGTAATTAATGACGTTATCAAAAAACAAAAAAATTTTCTGATATTAAAAATTTCCGATTCTTGATTTATTAGCGCTCTTTTATTCGAAATTTCTTGATGCATTCTTTCCATAAAGTACTGTATATACTGGGAATTCGTGGCATAGGAGATACTCAATGCGGATTTAAATTATTTACACGAAAATCCGCACAACGCGTTTTTATTAATATGCATGTCGAACGATGGATATTTGATATTGAAATGTTATTGATTGCACAACAATTTAAGACTCCGATTGCTGAGACTGCCGTAAGCTGGCATGAAATTGATGGATCCAAAGTGTCATTAGTCAAAGATTCAATTCAGATGGCACTCGATTTATTAACTATCCGATTAAACTATCTTTTTGGAATTTGGACCGTTAATGATCCTTTGAAACCTAAACGCGATTAATCCGTGAATAAAATGCAATTTCGAATAAAATTTATCTTAAATTGTTGAAAAACTATAGATCGAAACAAAATGATAATCCATTAATTAAATAATATAATCAAAAGCAAGATGATTACCCGGGGCAAGAAGTTATTGTCGCGCATTGGGTCGACCACCCTGACCGCCTTGACCACCCTGACCTCTCTGACCTTCCTCATCCGGACCCCCTCCGAACATTAATATTATTAGTAAAGGCACGATGTATACCCTGATAAACATAATAAGAATAGATTAATAGCTGTTATTAACCAACAATGTGATCTATCACAATTACCCACCAATATTTCTGCAAAAATGTTTTTTCAGGTGGTGGGGTTTCTATAGTACCATCTGGTCGAAGTGGTGCAGCTTTAGCCAATTTAGGACTAATAAAAGTCCAATGTTAATAATTAGATAGGATAACCAAATAAAGAGAGTCTATAGACAAACTTACCGAACCCCTTTGACGGCTTTGATGGTTTGAGCGGTAGTCTTGAATTTGGTTATTGGCTGCAGATGCGATTTTTGAGATTTAATCATTCTTACTAGCTAATTACAAAACGCAATTAATGGAAAAGCTTACTTGTCTATTTTTATATCCATCAGTAGGAGCAGTGCATTGAGGTTGAGTAGTGTAATAATCAAAATGAAAGAGATTACTATCCTTATCTAAGTGAATTATAATCTCATCTTCGAAATTTGATGATAGTAATAAACACTTTAAAAATATATAAAATATTTATTCTATTAGCTTTATTAATCGAGGTAAATATCCTGATATAAAACATTACTGACCCATTTTGTAAACGAGATAAAAGATTTATTTGGATCCTCTTCATCGACTAATTTGATATGATAAAATATCGTGTCGTTGTCATTTTGACTATTTAACGAATCGGTCAAAGTTAAAGATACATCCTCATTCTCGTTATCTGCAGGTGAGTACTTTGCTACACCACGTGATGGAATTAAAGCTAGTTGACCTCGTTTTTTGAACGTGGATTCTGGATAAGAGAGTTTATGGTATATGGTGTACTTGTGTTCATATAACTGTTCTTGTTCCTAACAATATATTATGAATTCATATTATTCAACTAGGGAAGAAGAGAAATCCACGAAGTCCAATGAAATTGACTCATCAATTACGTACTACTTCTTCCTCAGTTTCTGTCACTGTCTCTGAAAAAACAATATTGTATAGCAATGAGCTGAAGCAAAGTAATAAGAGTAGAACACGAAATAGAGTCATGTTTCATAGGAAAGTAGAAATGCCGATCAAAAAATAATTTCAAAATAGTCAAATAAATGACGTAGAACGTAGATGAATGCTTTTGCCCGTTTAAATAATTTCGTAAATCTCGAAGCTTGACATGAATTCAGTACACCAACTTGATGAATTGGTGAAAGAATATTTGCTCGTGCGTTTATTTTCTTTAATTTTAGATTTTGGTTATAAGTGCATATAAGATAAATTCATTGATTCGTTGCATTGATACCACTTTCTGGCTTGTGATTGAATAGTTCCGGGGTTTTATAAACACTTTTCGCGCTTTTGAGCAGGAGAACAAAACAGATAAAGATAAAAGTTTCCAAGTATGTATGTGTTGCAAAGTGACCATTTTCCCTTTCTGACTTTCGTAGTATTTTATATGCATTTCAATATACTCGTGGAAAATCACCTTTCGGTATAATAAATAATATCCTCACATCACATTATTTGCAGGCCGATAAAATAATTGATGAATTATCCAGTTACATCTCGAACAGTGATATTAATGGGCTATTGGAATACTGGCAATATTTGCACATTCGTTATTTCTCACGATTAGATGGGCGATTTTTTGGAAGTGTAAAAAAGTTCGAGACATGCTTATTGAGATATTATTTAGTTTATGGTAATCAGACATTTAATAAAGCATACATAAACATAAAGTTTCAGTTACACGAAATTATTCTAAAAAAAAGATGATGAATAATTGGATTTATATTTTTAGCAACACAACATAAACGAAAAGACAAAATCGTGGAATTTTTTGATACCTTTGGTGCAGAACTTAACGGAAACCCAGAATGGACTAAATGGTTTGGTAATATTTTTGCTAAATTTTATGTGATTGAAATTATAAACATGACTGATAATCGGTAGTATTCAGGTTTGCCGTTCTCGAAAAATCCTGTATCCGATCCGAATTTTGAACCTTTTTTCACTAAACAGTGGTTAGACACATTTACAGTATCTTTACATAATTTCCTGAATGCTATATTTCAAAATATGCGTATCCTTTTTGCATTTATTTAATTGGTGAATAAAAATTAATAATCAATTATTAGTATTTATCCTTAATTTCGACATTTGTTAATTTCACTTTCAAGCGCTACCTAGTCTTTTATGCTTCAATATTGATCGTCTTCATAGACAAACATTACAAAATGAGATTAAAGATCTTCATCGTGTCATTGAGAATCTCAAATCGGAGCTGGAAACCGGTGATCATGAAATATCGACGTTAAAGCAAAAGGTTTTCATTCTGCATGCTATTTTTATCGAATCAAGCTTGCAAATTCTTCAAAAGCATCAACTCAAATTCCCAAATTTTTTTTAATTTACAGGTTGCTCGTAGTGAGCATGCGACTGGATATAGAAGACGACGTGCTCTTTCCATGGTCGAACACAAAGAAAAAAATTCGTAATTTATTTTTATTTTATCAATAATAACTGATAATTTTAGGTTTTCAATGCTGTTCTTATCTCTTCATATTAATCAAATAGAAATGGGGTTGAAAGACTTTCGGCTCCTTCATCACGAGGTAATTAAATTTAGAAATTTCTTTTGACTTGTATGAATGCAATTATATTTTTGTAATAATAAAATTATAGCGAAAAATCAAGTATCAGCAAGTGTTCCGGTTTCTCGATCCGTTACTCCTAGCAAACAACATGACGCGGGATCAGTTAATAGTAATCATAACAATAAAGCCTCGCAATCACCAAGATCTTTGCCTGAAGAACGTGCTATTTCTCCTATTTCAGAATACACGTTTGATGAAGAGGATGAAGGAGAATTGCAAGATGATGATGAGACTTTTATTATTAATAGTCAGGTAGGTTTACCATGCATTTACCATGTATTTGTCATTGTTACCCCTCATTATATTTGTAATCAACACATATCTCTCACTATATATGGAACTAATAGGAATTATATTTGAGACATACTTCTGGTATTACCCTAGCAAAATTTTCTTGTGAAGGAAGTTTGATTGCCAGTTGTGATGCGGACAATTTAGTTAAGTAAGTTTTTTTCAAATACTAATCAAGTTACATGGAGTTTCTCAAAAATTACAAACTTTATGTTAAATAGAATATGGAGCGACTCTGGCGAAAGTCCCGGTTTAGAAATCAACAACCACGAATACAACATTCTTTCCATGGAATGGGAATCGAGATCCGATAAATTTGTATGTCTATATCTATATCTATATACACAGTGAAACTTAATTTAACGGAATCATCCGTTCCATAAGCGAAAATTTTCAAAAATTTGTCATCGAGTTTTAATTACGAAATCCGTTCTGAACTACGTCGAGTTCTATTAGCCTCCGTTAGATCGAGTTTCACTGTGTAAATATATATTCTTTGATCAAATATGCAATAATATTTATATAAAAAAAAGTTATTTTTTGGCACAGATGAACGCATAATCCGAATGTACAATCAAGAGAGCAAATCGGTGGTGCATGAATTTCAAATGGAAGAACGGCTTCCGAGAGTTAATCAAATTTGTTGTTCTCCGGCAGAACCGGTTTTTGCTTGTTCTGGTAGTGATGTGAAGATTCGTCGAGATAACCCTGGTACAGGCTCGGCTGCCGGCTCTTCTGCGACTAGTAGTGCTTTGGTCAGCTGGGATATTAAAACGATGTCGATACAGGTATTTTACGATATTTATGATTTATTAAACTGTAGTCGATATTTATTTGATATATTAAAAATAATTCCTTAGGGCACCTTCTGGTTGGATACCCCATCAAAATCTCATGCCGTTCCAATAGAAACCATCAAATTCAATCATAATGGGAAAATGCTAGTGACTGGTGACAAAACAGGCTATATTCGGATTTTTGGTAAGGAAAACATAAGTAAAGATGATTTGGTTTCGTGTAATGTTTATTCGAAAGAATTTAATCAATAATTTTTTATTTGTTGAAGATATTCGTAAATTGTCTCCAATTATGGAATGGAATATATCAAGTGCTTCATCCACAATAAATGCAAATAAAGTTGGTAGTGGTATAGTTTGCTCTACATTATTTAGCTTTGATGAGAATTCGATATATGTAGTTGATGAGAGCGGGCAGGTTGGTTTGTTACGCGAATATTTTTTTATTTTAATGAACACTACTTATTATTCTTAAAAATGATTATTTATGATTATTTCCAGTTCTCTCAATGGTCGGTCCATAAACGCGGAAGCCTGCTTTCTCAATCCAAACTACACGGCTTCCCACCCCCAACGCCGATATTGTCATCACCATCTTCTTCATCATTATCTCCTCCACAATCACAATCAATACCACAACAATCTAGTACGCTAAGTTTTCCATTCCCAACAACATTCCGAAAACGAACAGTTTCCGCTTCATCAAGTCGAAGCACAAATTCAACGGCTACAAACGTTATCGGAAATAATACTAATAGTAATGATAATAGCAATAGAGGACTATCACATTTGGCGCCTCCTCCCCGAGCACCAATGGTTGCATTTAGTCCTGATACTGAGCATCTTGTGTGTGTTGGAGGAACTGGCGGATGTGAAGGAATGATTTATCAGGTGAGTGAAAAGAATACGTGGGAGTGAGTTATGTACTCTGTTTTGTTATTGCATTACTGTTAATATGTATTCTATTATGATATTTTATTTTAAGACATCTAATGGAGAACAGGTGCAAAGTTTAGCTTCACATTCTCAATCCCTAACGTCTGTTGATTGGTCAGCAACTACGGGAAATGCTATTCTTACTGCTTCGACAGATGGAACACTGAGGCTCACAAAGATAACAAAGTTTTTGCAACCATAATCATATCTTATTTAATATATTATTATAATTATTATTTATTATTTATTATTATTTTTATTATTAATTAATTAATAACGGTAATTTATTATTTAAGTCTAGATAAAATAACGGTAATTTATTATTTAAGTCTAGATAAAATAACAGTATTTTTTAATTGCATAAAAATTAATAAATGGAAAAATTCTGAGATTTCTGATCCGAACAGATCAGAATTGAATCACTAGTCTCTTTAGACTTTTGTCACATTATTCAAAATCAGTTTCAAACAACGGATCTTTTTTGACTGTATAAACTCGCATCACGTATATTCTATAAAAAACCCTCATGGAACTACATGTAAATGTTTCAATTATCAATTATATTAAAAATAAAAATTATATTAAATACAAAATATTACTCTATAATTAAGTCTAATATAAAATGATTGTTCAAAAATCTTGTTACTCTCCACGAAAACCCAATCCAAATAGTATTGTGTGTGGTGGGTGTAAAAAGATTAACTTGGCCGCATCGACTGAATATCCACTTTACACTCATGATTCCGTTCGTGCCAGTATGACATTGCTGACATGACACCGTGATAGTGAACCAGCGCAGCTGATACAACAAACACGTGAAATATTTGGTGAGATGATCCCTAATAATGAATGTATTGCTTGTATTAGTGTTTCGAATTACAAGAAAAATAGTAATTTAAAAGATGTGAATAATATGTACCCATATATCGAATTTTCCAGGAAACCATCGCTCAGGAACTCTGAATTTTAATAAATTATATATTTCTTTTTAGAAAAACTTGATCAAAATATCAGACGATTATAAAGATAATAATTATAATGTACGTACCGGAAGCCATAGATAACTGCTCCAGCAACATAAAACAATCCCATTACAAGCATATACTTGAGTGATATGACGTCGAAACTCAGATGGAACTGCAAATAAAATAATTAAAAATATAATTCAAAGACTACAAATAAATTTATATTATCTAAATAACATACCCCATAAAGTGCAATAGCATGGGCTATGGGGAATATAGCACTTAGCCCCATTGAAAGGAATAATCCCGTACGAAACCATCGGAATTCCGGTGAACGAAAAGTAGGCGCGATTGCTACTACGATCTATATATTAATTTCATAGCATTGTGTTAAATATGTATATAAAAGATTTCAGAGATTTATAGAAAAGATTTAATATTTTAATAAGAGAGATAGTTACTGTAGCAATTCCAAAGACAGATATCAATGATAGGTATACAATTTGCAAAACGCTATTACAGTAAAACCCTAAATTAAAAAGAATCGATTTATTATATATAGAGATTTATCGAACATTAATTGAGATTTATAACTTACCGTAATAAACCATAGGATAAAATGATCCACTAAAGTAATATTTTTTATTAAATAGTATTCAATAATTATGATCCAGTAATACAAGTCGCTCTTGTTATAGTGAATGTGTCCGGGCTATTAGAGAAAAATTCACTATATCGAGAGTTTAATTAGTCCTCACTATATCAAGTGTTCACTATAACGAGAGTGACTTGTAATATTAAATGAAATAACAAAAAGATTTCATACTGACACAATTAAAGCAACAATACCAATATAATCGCATCTATTCCAATCAGCGCAAACCTAATTAATAGCACAGACATTGAATTAACAAAAGAAATTGAAAAAACTCCCATAATTTTAAAGATCTTCACCTTTTCCGAATGACAGCAAAAGGTGTGAAATAATGAAGAGAGCGATAAACAAGCCATCGCGCCCGCTAGAAAACAGTAAAACACCAGAAAGTCCCACCATTTGACAGACGAGGTATTTGACAGTGTGGAGAAATAGGTGGTGAATGCGATAACTATGAAAGCAATGGTACCTAGGACGTGTGACCATATGTTCACTAAAAATTAAATGATCGATCAATTAGGCAGATATCTAAGGAAAATAACGAATATAACACATTTCTTACCGGTTTCATTGTGAAGGTAAAGTAAAGATTTTGCGCATTTGATATACGAAAAAGTTGGACGGCGATAGCCACGCAAAATATCGCGATTATCCTGTAGCCACGAAGGCAGATCTGCAAAATTGCAGGTGAGAGGCAGACAAGGCTCAACTGCTGCGTTTACCTCTTGCTTTATGTAGCATATCAATAAAGAAAAAGGCGCATTAAAATTAGAAAAAAATTTCAAAAAAATTTTAATCTCAGAAAGGTAAAAAATACCTTGTTACCGGCAGAATTGGGTGATATTGACAAGGTCTCCTCTTGAAGTGTCGTTTCAGAGGACGACCGTTTTGAATTTGACATTTTTCGCTGGGAAAGTTTCGACGCCATTTGACAAATTGTTAAGAGAAAAGGAGAAGAAATGAAAACAGTTTCGGAAAAAAGTGAACATGTTGAACATGCTTTTGTATAGAATATGAATATGCATTGGGGACAACAAGCCAGATATTGGGGAATTTCATTTTTGATTGTACGACCCAATCCACGAGCACGTTTCATAATGACATAAGAATTAATTTATAAAAAAACTGATCGTTTATCGTTATAGTTAGCTTCAAACAACATTCAAACATGCCTGTAGTAACTTCTTCACAACTCGCAAAGCTTCAGTCTCGTCCAGAGAATATACGCAATATTTGTATCCTTGCTCACGTTGATCATGGAAAAACTACACTGTCTGACTCTCTCCTTGCCTCCAACGGTATTATTTCGAACAAACTTGCCGGAAAAGTCAGATATCTTGACAGTCGTGAAGATGAACAAGAGAGAGGAATTACTATGGAAGCTAGTGGCATTTCTTTGTACTTCCAAGTATTGCGTAAAGCGGAAGAAGTGGGCGCAGGTCAGCTTTGTTTTTTTTAATCAGTTATACAGACTTTTGAAATTTTATTTTTTTTATTGACTCTCAAGATTATTACACATAATTTTTTGACATCAACTAAAGAAACTGTCACAAATTCTCATGAATATCTTATAAATCTTATTGATTCTCCTGGACATATTGATTTTTCCAGTGAAGTGTCGACAGCATCAAGATTATGTGATGGTGCATTAATTCTTGTGGATGCTGTTGAAGGCATCTGTTCGCAGGTGTGTTGATTTTTTTTTGATTCAGAAGCAGACTTTTTTAATTATTCTCGTGTCAAACTAATAAATACTCTAATTTATAGACTCATACTGTACTTCGTCAAGCTTGGATCGAGAATGTTCGACCTGTGCTTGTCCTTAATAAGCTTGATCGTTTAATCACCGAACTTAAATTGACACCTATGGAAGCATATATTCATCTTAATAAAATACTTGAACAAGTAAATGCTATCGTGGGTACTTTCTTTGCAGGCGATGTACTTGAAGAAGAAACGAGACGGCATGATGCTGAAAAGGTAATAAATTTAACTTTCTAAGCATCGTTAGCTAAAAGCAACAACATAAAATATTCACTCTCATATAATAATCTAGGAAAGGTTATTACGCGAAGGGGAAATTTCCGAAATAGAAAAGAGTATATCAGAAGCGTCATTGGACGATCGTGACGACTCCAGTATATACTTTACACCCGAATCCGGAAACGTAATCTTTTCAAGTGCCATAGATGGGTGGGGATTCAGGTAACTTACTACAAAAAATTCTTTGATTCTCACTATATATCTCTTCGTCATTTATGATTCAACGAAAAAATGTCACATTAATTGACTTTGACAGTTGATGTTCCAGAGTGGAACAATTTGCAGATATTTACGCTTCGAAACTTAATATTAAGGTGAATCTGCTTCGAAAAATTCTTTGGGGTGATTATTACCTTGATCCGAAGACGAAACGTATTTTGCAGAATAAACATTTGAAAGGTCGTCATTTGAAACCGATGTTTGTTCAATTTGTGCTTGATAATATATGGACTATTTATGATGCTGTTATTTTAAACAAGTAAGGACTTGAATGCACAACAAAAAAATTGTTTTGTCGAAAGGGAATTAATACTTTATTATTCATTTATAAGCAATCGAGAAAAAATTGAAAAGATTGTAAAGACACTGAATCTCAAAATTCTTCCAAGAGACATGCGTTCTAAAGATACAAGAACTTTATTGACCTCAATGTTTTCTCAGTGGTTGCCACTCTCCACTACGGTATTACATATCCTTTGCAGCAATTTTTTGCCTTTGTATTGTTTTTATTTGTCAAGAGTTTCCTTAACTCCTCGCACTTACCGTGATAGATAAACTTCCTTCTCCTGTTGCGGCGCAACCTAGACGTCTTCCGCGGATGCTATATCCTCATTCTAATTCTCCGGAGAAGTCTAAAGATGATATAGAGCATGCAATATATACATGTGATTCTAGCGATACAGCACCCATTATTGCATATGTTTCCAAGATGTTTGCTGTCCCCTTTGAATTACTACCCGAAAACAAAAGAAAACAACTTACTGCAGAAGAATTAAGAGAAAGAAGAAGAATGCAAAAAGAAGTAGAGACTTCTACTGAAGTATCAACGAATCAGGAGTTCAACAGAATCGTAGAAAATGAACAACCCAAATTCGAAGCAATCAATGAGACATTTATTGGTTTTGCACGTCTATATTCTGGCACTATTCGAGTTGGTCAAAAACTCTTTGCTCTTAAGCCAAAATATGACCCCATATACCCGGAAAATTATTGCACCGAATTTACGGTGCAAAGTCTTTACATGTTGATGGGACGAGAACTTGAATCGCTTCAGGAAGTTCCCGCAGGAAATGTGTTTGGGATTGGTGGGCTGGAGGGTCACATCTTAAAAAATGGTACCTTGAGCAGTACTAAATCATGCAAGACTTTGGCTGGGGTAGCGCTTGAAGTATGTTAAAATCGGGATTTATCAAGATTCATTAGTAGGAACATTTTTCTGAATCCATTATATATTTTCTAAAGTCTGCACCTATTGTTCGTGTGGCGCTTGAACCTACAGAACCATGTAATTAAACTTATTTTATCGTTGAAACCTGGTTGTATTTATATATTATATGGACAAAAGATCTAACGTTGGTTATTTTAGCTGAAATGTCGAAGCTGATTGAAGGTCTTCATCTTCTCAATCAAGCTGATCCGTGTGTCGAAATTCTTGTCCAAGAAACCGGTGAACACGTAATTCTCACTGCTGGCGAAGTTCATCTTGAGGTTTGATGCTATTATGTAGCTGATTACACACTATGAAATGAGTAATAATTGCTAATGTAATATATTTTAATGGAATTAAAGCGTTGTCTCAAAGACTTGAAAGATAGATTTGCAAAGATTGAAATTCAAGTTTCTCCTCCAATTGTCCCATTCAGAGAAACAATTGTACACTCACCAGGTATTATTTAATTTTCCTTTTTCTGTAATCAACTCCTTTTGTATTTTATTGGATTAAAAAAATCAATTAATAGAAACGCACTCTGTCAAAGATAAAGATCCCAATATCCTACATGGCCTAATTACATTATCAACAACAAATAAATACTGTACTCTTAAAGTACGTACAGTACCATTACCTTCTAACGTGACCTCATTCTTGAACGAGAATGCAATCACAGTTAAAGCCATGTTAGAAGAACGACAATGGCGCAATAAGGCTGATATTTTGTCCGGAGAGGAGGATGAAGAGGCATTAAAAGAGGTGGCGATTAAAAAGGAACGGGTTTTACAGGCTGAAGAGTTCTTTGAGCTTTTGGAAGCAGAGTTTGAGAAAGCTCCGGATAAGGATATTTGGAAAGATGTTGTTGAAAAGTATGTTTATTCTTAGCATGTGTTTTGAATATATATTATACAATGATATTTACAATGCTTACTTGCTGATGTAGTATATGGGCTTTCGGTCCGAAGCGCGTTGGTCCTAATCTTTTAATTAACCGTGTATCTAATTACACTCGAAAATCGTAAAGATCATACTTTTAACAATTGTTATCAATTTCTGCCTCCCCAAAAAATTAATTTACTAAACGTTCCAAATATAGGTGGCGCGGAACTCTCATCGACTCGAAACTCTCCAACACATTAATCTCAACACAAGATGATAGCCTAGAAATTCCTGCAGAAAATAAAAATACTACTAGCGAGCAACTGACAATAAGAGACTTCGAAGAAGCTGTTCATACAGGGTTTCAATTGGCTACCAAAGCTGGTCCACTTTGTGCCGAACCGCTGATGGGAGTCGCATATTTTGTCGAGGATTTTCTAATAGATACTGAAAATACAGGTTTGGAACCATCAGAGGGTACGACGTCACTCAATTCGATATAATGTAGGAATTTTCACTTCCCATGTTCTTATTAGACTTAATTTATTTCTGGAATATAGTGCGCTCTAAAATAGGTGGTCAAGTAATGACCACCATGAGAGATGCGTGTCGACAAGGATTCTTGGAATGGTCACCAAGATTAATGTTGGCAATGTATTCGTGTGATATTCAAGCTACAAGTATGACGATATCTAAGCTTTCAAATGAACTTTTTCTTGATACCAAAAAATTACATTAATAAATCATCATTCAAAACTTTAAAGCTGAGGTTCTTGGCAGAGTTTACGGCGTAATATCTCGGCGACGTGGTCGAATCACCTCGGAAGAGTTAAAAGAAGGCACTCCGTTCTTTGAAGTCCATGCTCTTATGCCAGTTATAGAAAGTTTCGGATTTGCTGATGGTTTGTTGGTTAATTTTGCCTTTTAAAGGTTAATATTCCAAAGTGCTAACTATAGTCAATTAATTATATTTACAGAAATAAGAAAAAGAACTTCTGGTGCTGCTAGTCCTCAATTGATATTTAGCGGGTATGTGCGCATTCTAGTTTCACCATAATCGAAGAGAGAAATCAAATCTGCTTATTAGTCGATTTTTTTTGTTCGTTATTTAGATTCGAGATGCTTGACGAAGATCCGTTTTGGGTGCCGACTACTGAAGAGGAGTTGGAAGATCTCGGGGAAAAGTCCGATCGTGAAAATCTTGCTAAAAAGTATATGGAGAAAGTTCGTAAAAGAAAGGTATTTTTTTCCCTTACTTATATCTTATATATAAATAGTACTTTACATTCTTAGAATAGTTATTAAATAAACCAATTAATTTATTTTGTAGGGCATGTTTGTTGAGAAAAAAATCGTAGAACATGCGGAAAAACAACGGACGATCAAGAAACGATAATAATGTTTGTTTTAGTTTGAAACACTGGTAAATGATTAAATTTATTATTATGCATTGTTTCGTCGGTCAAATAGCTGAATTAGTCTAGATTGTATTTTTCAATTTTTAGTATTTTGGTCTTCTCATTTTGTTGGAATATATTTTATATATATATGCTTATGTAGAATACTGTATAAACTGGACAATAAAATAACTTTTAAACGTGAAATAAACAGAAACTTTGTTAAACAATAAATTAAGTGATTTGACCAAACAATATATATAAATCCTAAGAAATGACCAAATTCAAAGATGCTAAAACATATAGTGACCAGGAAAAAAAGATACTGCTAGACGCATATAATAAGCAAGAACAACAGAAACAGTTAAATAAAACAGTACGGATTGTATTCATAGCATTGTTACTAGATATTCTAGCATTCACGATCATTTTGCCATTGTTTCCACGGCTGTTGAAAGATTATCAGGAACGAGAAGATGGGGATGAAGTGAGTAGTAAAATTAATTAATTAATTAATTAATTGTTTTTTGATTTGAATGATTTATTGAACTTTATCGGACGAACTTAAATTGATATTTATTAATTTATCTTTCAATCAAGACAACATTATTATCATTTTTTCTACGGCAAATAGGTTTATTTAAAGAAATTATTGGTAGTAGTGAATCGTCACAATATAGCAATCCAAAATGGGATATTGTTTTACTAGGGGGTGTATTAGGCTCACTCTACTCGTTTTTACAATTTGTCGCGTCACCTGTAATTGGCGTGTTTTCTGATCGATATGGTCGACGGAAGACATTACTATTCACAATGGTAATTTTTACTATTATTGTTAGCATTCAGAGTTCTTAAAACTTAATTCCTGTTAATAAATCCATATTTTTTAGATTGGAAATATATTGTCGACAATTTTATGGTTATTCGCTAAATCATTTGGGTGGTTCGTACTAGCAAGAATAGTGGGAGGTCTGTGTGAAGGTAACGTGCAATTATCGATCGCGATTGTGTCGGATGTTACGACGCGCGAGACTCGGTCAAAGGGATTGGTGGGTAGTTTAAATTATAAATATAGAAACATGAATATTCTGTTTTTTTTTGTCTAATTTGTATTATTTCCAAATATTATTTTTATTAGGCGTTGGTTGGTATCGCATTCGCTGTTTCATTTACAATTGGTCCTGCTATCGGTGCATATTTTGCGTCGAAAGATCTGGCACAACTTTTTCCTCAACTAGTTGAATGGGGTCTTAGTCCGTATTCAGCGCCTGCGTTCGTCTCACTAATATTACTTTGCGTAGAAACTTTATACTTATATGTTGCTCTGCCTGAAACATCAAATCTCGGAAAATCACAAAATAATGACCTCAATTCACCCACAAATACAACACCAAAAGAAGCACCCGCGAAATACCGACACCGCCAAAAAACCCTCCAAATTCTAAGCTGGATTCACTTTCTATACCTCTTCTTTTTCTCCGGCATGGAATTTACACTCACCTTTCTAACATTCGATCTATTCGATTTCACAAACATGCAAAACGGCAAACTATTGGGCTACATTGGTGTGTTGTCGGCTCTAATACAGGGTGGATATGTGAGACGTCGTGCGCACACAATTGGCGAAAAGTACTTGGTGGCGCAAGGAGTGACGGCGTGTACTATCGGGTTAAGTGTTATTTCTTTTTTGACGAAAGGTGTGAATGGTGTCACTTGGCTTTACGTTGGTGCTACTTTTTTTGCGATCACATCGGCTACTGTTGTTAATTGTTTGACATCGTTAGCTTCAATGCAATGTGATGATGATGATGATGATGATGACGATGAAAATCACAAAGAAAATAAGGAAACGCGAGTTTATTCCCTATTAAAAGGAAAAGAACTCGGTACATTCCGATCATTTGGTCAATTGGGTCGAGCATCCGGTCCTATAGCAACATGTAGTCTATACTGGATGAAAGGCTCTGAAATATGCTATGGTGTTGGTGCATTAGCAATGTTAGTCATTCTTGTGATTGTTTTTGTTAAAATTCCAAATGTTGATACTGATACTAAGGTAAAAAAGAAAGGCCAATAAATATCGTTGTTGATTATGTAATAGAAGACAGTAGTACCTATGCTGATAATTTAATATATGTATAATGCAATTTACTTGAAACCTAATGTTTGGCGAAAAGAAAGTCCATCAAGGGTAGAAAAGTACCCTAGCCACAGCGAAAAAGTGTCAGATCGCGTGCTGCTGGCGGCACAAACCAATAAAAATACGTAAATTTTTTATCAGCCCGGCAAAACAAATCCGGCACAAGAAAATAAAAAAAGTAAAAATACGGGAAACAGATGCCTAAATCTAGCTTGATACACTAAAAAAATGTCAGGAAGACAATTTTACATATAATCTTGATTTCAGCTCTAACCCTAATCCTAACTCTAATCCTAATCCTAACCTTTAAATTAACCTTTAACAATAATCTTTAACAATAACCTTTATTACCGTAGAATTTTTCCGGACATACACAAATATTACATGATCTGACACTTTTTTTTCGTCGTGGGGTTCTAACGCTAATAATTTTATTCTGTTTCAAGTTGCACATGATATATAAAGCACATGATTAGCCTATATGTATGTCCATTTATATGCTAGGAGACTCCGATCGTCGACTTCCACTTCCTCTACCATTGCAGCTCCTTTAAAACAACGAGTGTACATTGATATAATGAATTCGCAAGTTGACGAAGCAACTCACTCATTATTAGACAAGGTTGAGAAAACCACACAAACTAGTCGCTTTATGTGTTGTTCACGACGCTCATGTATCAGCAAAGCAGGTCGGGTTCGTTTAGCTGCTAGAGCTTTTGTTGGAGTTTTAGTCATTGTTGTTTATACAGTGTTGGTGTTTTTTGTGATTGACTATGTGAAGACACCGTGGTTCGGTTCGAATCTGTTGAATGACACGTATGCATGTCACGATACTGTTAGTTGTGGTAAGTTAGTGAGAATTTTTTTGCGTGTCATGACACTGTTGTTAGTCATGTAATAGTAATACTAATAATTATGCTAACGGTGAAACGCATATGATAGAACAGCGCCTACAACACAAAGAAAGTATCATCAAAGACAAACTAGAATCAAATAATTCATCAATAACACCACCAAATTATGTATTCTTTAGTTCACTATACAACGAGAAATACATGGAAGGCGCGCTGACATTAGGATACACAATAAAGAAACATCATCCAAATCATCAGATGTATATGATCTATTTCCCCGAAAATTTCTCCGAAGCAGCGCTCTGTAAACTTCGTGCAATTGATTGGATACCACGCGTTGTTGAACGGATTCCACCTCCATGGAAGGGAGTTCCGTCATACTTCGCAGATCAGTTCACAAAATTACAATTGTGGTCGTATACAGAGTTTGACGGGATTATGTATATCGATTCGGATGCGTTGGTGGTGCATCCGTTGCAAAAAGCATTTGAATTGGTTAGTGGTGGTGCTAATGTGACGGGATTTGAGTTCGCTGCTGTGTCTGATGTTTTTGATGGGACGATTGATGTTGGGTTTAATGCTGGCAAGTCTTTGTTCGTTGATAATGATGATTCTTATTTTATTGTTATGATATTTTAGTTGATTCATTCATTCTTAACGATTTATAGGATTTATGGTGTTTAAACCTAGTAAGATTGTGTATGATGAGATAATACGTACTTATAAATTACGTGGCAACTATAACATTGAATATGCCGAGCAAGCTTTTCTTAATGAATTCTATCGATTCAGGTGCGTACGACCGAGCCTCCTTTATATTAACAAGCCATTAGATATTCAATTCTTATAATGATCCCAAAATTGTGTAGACTGATCACACTACCCATCACCTACAATTTCAACTTATCAATACTTAAGAAGCATCAACATCTCTGGAAACTACTATTTAACGAGATAAAAGTGGTGCATTACACAGTAATGAAACCATTCATACGGCCATCGCCGCCACGATCTTTTAGCGAGCCTTATGAGTTCTGGTTTAAAGAGAATTATGCGATGCATAAAAAGTTTGATGATAAGTTCCGGGAGTGCGATGAAGAGGAGAAGTGATCTAGTAATAATAATGATAGAAATCTTGTTTCATTTTATTTAATGCTAAAATTCTTGTTTCATCTTTATTTAATTAATTAATCCTGGCAGCAGAATTAGCATGCTAAATAGTTTATTATTTGCCTGAAAATTTGCATTTAATTTGTTTCTTATTGAATAATCACAAGTATTCGCGCAATAATCGCATTGATATATAAAAACCGAAAAATTGACAGCAACTTCAATATTTCTTTGCTAATCAGCACGGAAAACACGTGATGACACGGTGTGTTGTACATACACAAGCTTCGTTAGAGCCGCAAGAAACTTTACTATATATAAAGAATATATAAACTTCTAGAGAATATGGTTTATTACTTACAGCAGACTTTGTAATTGGTTAACAGTATTAATTGAATCTAGTGTTAGCGTTTTACATTCGGCATACTGTGTATTACTGCACTTACATTCATCCTTTCTTTTCATTTTTGTTTCTGACAAAAGAAAAGAGAAAAGAAAATAGCAACACAATCAACATCTACACACATACACATTACACATACAAATGAGCAACAGGTTCGCCAACTCAACCTCACCACGACCAACAACACCACGACCAACAACGCCACGACCGACAACGCCACGACCGACAACCCCGCGTCCTGGTACTCCTCGACACCATAATAACAGTCCTCGTCCATCTACTCCGACCCATAATAATGGAGCGACGACGACGACGATCCAAGACATAGCGATAGGCTGTAAAGTTTATGTGACTGTTAACAACAAGGAGAAAACTGCCGATCTTCCGGAATATCGAAAGGCAGAGGTTCTATCCACTAGAATCCATAATGGTATTACAGAATATTACGTCCACTTTGTAGAATTCAATAAACGATTAGACGAATGGATTCCAGTGGAAAGAATTGATATCTCACGTGAGATTGAAAAGTCATCGGGAAGGAAACGCGCGAAAGGGGGTGGTCTTCGAGATAGCGATGCGCCTAATTCTTTGGCTTCTCCACTTAGTAGTAATGGAAACAGAACGCCGAATAGAAATCCGGGTGCATCTGCAACAACGATTGGTCAAAAGCGAAAAATCTCAGCGATGGAAGATGTTCATACTCCGCTATCGGAACCATATCCTGATGAATTCGACAATGATCCCGGCAGTGGACCAGGAACACCCAATGGTGGCTACACCGCGACGGCGGAAGGTAGTGGTCCACTCTCGAAAAAACAAGAACTTGAGAAACTTCGCGTTTCTGGATCAATGACACAGTCAAATTCCGAGATCTCACGTGTGAAAAATCTCGAAAGAATTCATATCGGAAAATATGACGTCGAGGCTTGGTATTTCTCACCGTATCCTGCAGAGTACGCGTCCGCGTCCACCATTTACATCTGTGAGTTCTGTCTGTTTCATTTTATTAGTGAACGCCAGCTACGCAGACATCTAAAGAAATGCAATATTTTGCATCCACCCGGCAATGAAATATATCGTAAAGACGATATTTCGTTTTTCGAGATCGATGGTCACAAGCAGAAAACATACTGTCGTAATCTGTGTCTTTTGTCGAAACTGTTTCTCGATCACAAGACGCTTTACTATGATGTCGACCCATTTTTGTTCTATATTATGTGTAAACGAGATGCCAAAGGATGTCACATGATTGGATATTTCTCAAAAGAGAAAGAAAGCACTGAAGGCTATAATCTGGCTTGTATCCTCACACTTCCACAGTACCAGCGACAAGGCTACGGCCGAATATTAATCGCCTTTTCATACGAACTCTCAAAAAAAGAAGGAAAAGTTGGGTCACCGGAAAAACCTCTTTCCGATCTTGGACTTTTATCGTATCGTGCCTATTGGACAGAAGTCATTCTTGACATATTACTCGAGACAAAAGCAAATAGTGACGAGATCACCATCGAAGAAATCTCTCAGCGCACGAGTATCACCACTACTGATATACTGCAAACACTGCAAACAATCGGCGCCATCAAGCCGTATAAGGGACAACAGATTATTTGGTTGTCAGATGCACTGGTGGCTGCAAATGAAAAAACAAAGGCGAAGAATCATCGAACTATTGATGAAAATTGTTTGCAGTGGACTCCGCCACATTTCACCTCTAACCAGTTGAGGTTTATATAATGGAAATAAATTATTGTTATTAGTAATAGCTTGCTTGGACTTTGGTTATAGAATTGTTTATAATTATAATTATTATTATTATTATTATTATTAGCTTTTTTTATATTGCATTGTTGTTCTTTTATTATAAATGCATAATTCTTCCTTTTGCTATATTAATCTTACTTTTAATATAATATACTACTTAGAAGATTTTTAATTTGATATTTATTGTTTAATTCCCCTTTCTTTTGTTATTTCTATTTTAAGTTATCTATTTAGGAGTAGTAGTAATAGGAGTAATAGGAGTAATAGGAGTAGTAGTAATAGTAGTAGTGGTAGTCGTGCTAATGGCAGTAGGCGATGACGGATATCTCTACTTTGATTGGGATCAGGTAGGTAAATAAATACTTTGATTTTTGCCTTTTCTATTGAAGTCAGTGCACATAGCTTCAATCAATCAATCAATTTAATAATAAAAATGAAAAGAATATAAATTGACGCGTAAAAACCAACTTTTCCGATAATCGTCCATATCGATATTGATCAAAGAACGATCACAAGTTTTGATTGGACAAGTAGCGTAGCAATTTATTTTATCTTCGATATAGATAGTTTTCTTAGACACAACTTTACAAGGAGTAATTCTTCAGCATGGTAAATAGTAATAATAATAATAGTACATAAAGTTTATAGACATATGTTCCTTTTATTCCTTCAAGATCAACAACAGACATGTCACACCTACAAACCTTTCAGTCCAATGCATCAACAGATCAAAGTGAAGGCGAGACAGAAAATCAGGTTTCTTCCGCCGTACAAGATACTGATGCTTCTGCTGATCAAGACACTGATGATGACGGTATGTAGGTGGCTGAGTTGATTTTTTGAGTTTTATTTCCAAATTTTACTTTTGAAACGAAGAAATTTGTTGCGTCTGTAGCTTTTTTAGCTGATTTAAGCGACGAGGAAGAGGTATTGTGTTTTATCATTAAAGACCCATCTTTGATGATATCTGTTTATATGAATTGATAAATTAATGGTTCATTTGATAATTTTTAGGAAATTGAATTAACGCATCTACGAATCACTGATATCCCTAGTCTTTTTCTGGATCGATTTGTTAATTTAAAAGTACGAGAATATACGTGCAAACAACAAACAACACGAGCAAATATTCTATTTTTTTAATCGATAAAGTCTTCTTTGGTCTATTGATCGAAAAAAAAACCATCCTCATTATCATTGTTATCAGAGATTATGTCTTCGACAAAACCTGATCACGAAAATAGAAGGCCTTGAAAATCTAAAGTCTTTGAAGGAAATTGATTTCTACGATAATAAGATATCGTACATTGAAAATCTAGATAATCAGATTAACCTTGAGTAAGAAACTTACTTTATATTATATCATCATAATTATCAAAATAATAAATTATCCTTTTTCATTTAAAATGAATATAAAGATCATTAGACCTATCATTCAATAAAATAAAAGTGATCGAAAACGTTAACCACCTCATAAAACTCACAAACATCTACTTTGTACAAAACAAAATAAAAACCATCCAAAATCTTGAAAATCTCGTAAATCTGACGAATTTGGAGCTGGGTGCGAACAGTATTCGGGTGATTTTCAAATCTCTTCAGCTCTCTCTGTATTTTGTGTTTTTTAGCATGTCGTTTTTTGTCGTTTGTGATTGTTATGTGTGATGGCGTGCGTGTCAATAATGACAATCACAATAGAAAATATGGCGATTATGCTCCGCTGCGCATCCATTCACCTCCCTCGCGACTTTTTTTTTCTCCCTGAAATGTGATCCTGTGTGTGTATGTTAATCTATTTTGATTTTTGAAGAAAATTGAGAATTTAAGTTCTTTCGTCAACTTGGAGCAACTTTGGCTCGGGAAAAATAAAATCAGGGAATTAGAGGTGATCTTTTTTATTGATTTTTTTTAGTTATTTATTAAAGAAAAATTGACGATAATTATTGATTAATTATAATAGAATTTGGACAACTTGAAAAATCTCAAAATTTTGAGTATTCAAAGCAACAGATTGACGCGATTAGAAGGTTTAGAGGGTTTAGTCAATCTGGAGGAGTTATACCTTAGTCACAATGGGATAAAGAAAATCGAGGGACTAGAAAACAATGTTGGTGTTCTATATAAAAATGTTTTTGTGCGTGGAATTACTAAACGTTATTATTTATTTGCAGAAGAAATTACGTATCCTAGATATCAGTAATAACTTCTTCACTAAAATTGAAAATATCTCTCATTTGTCCAATTTAGAGGAATTCTGGGTGAAGTTCACATTTTTGCATACATTACTCACATATGTAAGAAAGAGATAGATGTCTATCTAACGTTTAATTATTCTCAATATAATAGGCCAGTAATAACCAGCTGAACGATTTCCAAGAACTTGAATCACAACTCGCACATATAGAGAAATTACGCACCGTCTATATCGAGGGTAATCCTCTGCAAACAAATAACGAGGCGACGTATCGACTTAAAGTGAAAACATTATTGCCACAAGTAATTCAAATAGATGCTACGTAAGTGTATGTCTATTTCTTCTATTAAAGGTGCATTTCTGTAAGGCTATATCGTTAAATTCTTTGTTGATTCATCTTTAGATATACACAGTGATTGATATAGTGATTTTTACGGTCTGCGGGTAATATTGTAGTATGAGAAGATCAAATATTGTTCATAATTGCAGGCAGCATTATTGGGGTATCTAAAAACTAGTGTTTATTATATTAATAATTAATCATCTAAAAAAACCCTTTCAACATGAATGATAATGCTCTTTGATATATCATCATCTAATTTTAACTAATTAATACAATGTAAATTATATTATATATAATTGTAGCGAACCTTTCACTATACAATAAATTTTAAACACAATCAAATCAAAAATTAAATTATTCTTTGATGTTAATAATATAATTATTATTATTATATTATAATTCTTCATGAGGATTCAATGGTTCTTCTTCTTCCTGTGACGACGACGGTTCTCCATCCTCGTATAATTTGCTCGTAATAGGATTAACAACTGACTGCAACTCCTCACGTTTTTCATCCAAATCCTCTTTTGTCGCCGAATTTCCATATTCATCGAACCAATCAAGCGTATTTTTAATTGCGTCTTTGATGGTTTTCTTGTCGTCGTCATTTAATTTCTTGCCGAGATCGCCATCATCGGCAACTTGAGCTTTCAATGAGTACACGTATGACTCGAGCTGATTACGTGATTCGATACGTTCACGTTGAACTCGATCTTCTTCGGCGAACTGTTCTGCTTCTTCGACCATACGATCGATTTCTTCTTTTGATAGACGACCTTTGTCGTTTGTGATGGTTATTGATTCTGATTTGCCGGTTGCTTTGTCAGCCGCAGATACTTTCATGATACCGTTGGCGTCCATTTCAAAAGTGACTTCGATTTGAGGTACACCTCGTGGTGCCGGTGGAATTCCAGTTAATTCGAATTTTCCAAGTAAATTGTTATCTTTTGTGAGTGATCGTTCTCCTTCGTATACTTGAATCAGTACAATTGGTTGATTATCAGCAGCGGTTGAGAAAATTTGTGATTTCTTTGTCGGGATCACGGTATTACGTGGGATCAGTTTTGTCATGACTCCACCGGTCGTCTCGATACCTAACGTCAAAGGACACACGTCGACCAACAATACATCGGAAACCTTATCATCACCACTGAGAATTCCACCTTGAACTGCGGCACCATAAGCAACAGCTTCATCGGGATTAATGTTCTTTGACGCTTTCTTTCCGTTAAAGAATTCCTCGAGGAGTTGCTGTACTTTGGGGATACGAGTTGACCCACCAACCAATACAATGTCTTGTACATCTTCTTTCTTGACACCGGCATCTTTGAGTACTTGTTCGACCGGTTTCAATGTTTTTCTAAACAGGTCATTGTTGAGTTCTTCAAATTTTGCACGAGTCAAAGTTTCAGAGAAATCTTTTCCGTCGTGGAATGATTCGATTTCAATACGAGTGGACATTTGTTGTGACAATGTGCGTTTAGCCTTTTCAACTTCCCGCTTCAATTTTCCGACGGCTTTCAAATCTTTGCTTACGTCAACCTTACTTTTCTTTTTGTAAAGTTTAATAAAGTAATCAATAACACGATTATCGAAATCTTCTCCACCCAAATGAGTATCACCAGCCGTAGCCAATACTTCAAACACTCCATCCTCAATAGACAATAACGACACGTCAAAAGTACCACCACCAAGATCATACACGAGAATTTGTCGTTCACCTCCCTGCTTATCAAGACCATAAGCAATAGCCGCGGCCGTCGGTTCGTTAACAATACGCATAACATTCAACCCGGCAATCACACCAGCATCTTTTGTGGCTTGACGCTGCGCATCATTAAAGTAAGCCGGCACAGTGACAACCGCATTCAGGACTTTCTTTCCGAGATATGATTCAGCGATCTCCTTCATCTTCCCGAGCACCATTGCCGATATTTCTTCCGGGGTGAATGTCTTCTCTTCACCTTTGACTTTCACTTGGATCACTGGCTTGTCGTCTTGATTGATGACTTTGAACGGGAAATGCTTAATATCGTTTTGCACGTCTTTGTCATTGAATCGACGTCCGATTAATCGTTTCGCGTCGAAGACGGTGTTTTCGGGATTTGATGGTGCTTGGTTTTTGGCTGCGTCTCCGACTAAACGTTCATCGTCGGTGAATGCTACATAGGAGGGAGTGATACGGTTGCCTTGATCATTGGCTAGAATTTCAACTCGTCCATTCACATGTACTCCAACACACGAATAGGTTGTACCCAAATCGATACCAATCACTGAAACAATGATATTTTTATCAGTAATTCTTTTTCAGGTATGTTCTTTTTAATTTATTTTCCGAGTTCTCATCACTACTCACCTGTACCAATATTTGGTTTCTCGTCCGAATCTTCAGCAAATATCGAGATGGGAACAAACGTAACAAGAAGCAATATTATCGAAAATAATATAAGTAAATATGTATTAAATGTGAGTTTCGCCATGTTGTTTATTCTATATTCAAAAACACTATCTAAGGGAATAAAAATTTTTTGACAGGAGGTTTGAACTTTATATCTTTGAAACGAAATCTCCACGTAAAATTTAAAATGCTGGAAATTGATGATTGGTCGCCGCTAAAAACATGTTTGTTGGCAGTTTTTTATTGGATGGAGATTGTGATTCATCATCGAATTGATGTGTCATGCATGTTGTATGCATCATCGGATTGAGAATCATATGCCGCGATTTTTGAAATGCATACATATGTTGTGCCTCAAATGTCGATTTGCGTCAGGTGTCGATCGGCCTAAATTAAGATGGGAGTATTACTAGCGTTAGGGTTAGGGTTAGGGTTAGTGCTGGTGAATAGGTTAATGTTGGCCGAATAAAATCGCATGAAGCGACATCTGAGGCACAAAATATACAAAGAATTATTTTCCGCCATAGAGACCATGAATTTTTGCATTATATTAAATTGGATACAATACCAAATTTGGCTTTTTTATTAACCCAATTTTGGTGTATCCTCGATCTTTATTGATTATCTTACTCACGTGATATTGTAACAATATTTTGTCAATTCACAACTCTCCGCTTCCCTTCATTATTTCAAAATGGTCAAATTAGAAGAAGTATGTATGCCTCATTTAGTTCACACATTACTCGAAGATTACATACAAAAATTTTATTTCATTTTTCGAAAATTTAACTAACCAACAATTAAAAAACAAGGTACACGACGAAGACGTTCCCCACGACGACGACGACGAAGGTTCCTCTGATGTCGACTCTACCTACTCTACAGACTCTGCTGCGTCAAACGACTACGAAGAGTCGGTACTCGAAAGAATATGGGCGCTACGCGATATCATACCACAGGAGACACGCGATTCGATATCGACCAATGTGTCGCGCGTGTGGAATTTCGGGTGGCAAGGTGCAAACTTTGTCGGGAATACGTTGTGGGTGTTGACTACTACGGCGTTGCTGTTGGTTATGCCGTTGGCGTTGGAAATTGAACGGGAGACTGCGATTGTGCAAATGGAGAATGAGCAAAAGGCACTGGTATGGTTTTGTCCGCTGTTGAATTTTTTTATGGTTTGATCTTCTTAGTAATTCGTTAATTATTATTTTTCCGTAATTAATCAATTAATAAGATGGGACAGCAACAACCGGGTCCTTATAATCAAACAAATCAAATAGGAGCACCACCACAACAGCAACAGCAACAACAACCACCGCGTTTAGTGCCACCCGGTTTCTAAAAACAAACAAGATAGTGCAAATCGATTACAAAGTATTATATCAGATGATTGGGTGTATAATGAAAAGATGCGAGAAAAGTTTCTATGATAATTTATTTTTACTAATAATTAATGTCTAGGGCTAAGGCTAAGTTGATAATTAATTATATAAAGGATCATGTACTCTAAAGTTGATAATAAATAAATAATCAATTCAACCACTTTATCATGATCTCATAAACATAAAATGTCACGGCATTCACCGGCCAAGCTCTCACCAGCGTCGGCACCATCCCTCTAAAAATCACTTTTATCCCTTCCTCTTTGTATGATTTTATGGCGCAATCGATGATTCCGGTGTAGTATGTTGTTGTCGGTGAGGATGATGTTGATGATGGAGAAGGAGATGATGAAAAATTATTTTGACGGTTGTTATATATTTTTACGCTTTGTAGTAGAGTTGTTCGTTCGAGAGATGAAGATGAAGATGAAGATGATGGGATTGCTGTACGAGTTATTACGAGTGGCTGAGAGTTGTGATTTTCAGCGTGTTTGTATGATTGAACTTGAAGTCTTGTTTTAATTACATCTAATAAAATTTTTTCAATTAATAAATCACAGAGGTGAAATGCAAATTGAAAATTATATTCAATCGTAATCATTACCTAAAGGATATATACAAGCCCACGCCACCACGCCAGCTGTTCCTCCAGAAAAAAGTAACTTCAAAGTATCATTATTATCGATGTAGTTCCCGCCAGCGGAATAATTGACATAATTAGCAGGAGATACTCCTAGTAATCGTTTACATCCTTCATATACCCTGAGTTAATACCCCCGAGACAGATAAAAAAAAACAAATGATTATGAATATGAAATATTACTCGTGATAATCACCAATATTAATAATAATCACCAGAAATATACACCATAACTAGTTGAGTCGCGTATCATTGTTGCTGTTCCTCCTTGGTATAATCCTATTTTTGGTTTTTTCATCAAATCTCTCTTGTTTATTTAAATTAGTTAAATTGAGAAGATAATGATGACATACCTAAGACCCCATGTCTTTTGATGATATCTCTAAATACACTCCATGTGGAAGAAGATCGATAATGAGGATCCATTTTTACTTGCGCTTTACATTTTACAACTTCTGTAGGCGTGCTGACCTTTAAGTTGTGATTCATAAAGATTCAAAACAAAAAGATATTAACTTCCGCTAAATTAAAAAGTTTCCAAGTTAATAAAATGAAATAAAATAAAATCTTACAACAAAACACGCCACCCCAGCACCAAACCCCGCAACATAAATCTGCGAAAGTGACGGGATAGAAAAAGATTCGTAATTTCGATTATGATGATTACTGTTGGAAAATATATTATTCTCATCTAGAAATCGAAGGATTCCGCCATATGAAGTGAATAAAATCGCATTTAAAAATGCGAGACCTATTATTGGTGATGCGATGCCTTTGAACCATGATCCCACCTAAGATCAAAATTTTAAAGTATTATTTTTTCATAGAGGATGGATTGGTAAATCTGCTTTTAATTTTTATTTTTACCCCTTCTGTTTGCATCATTCGCCAAAGACCGGGCGTTGTTGCTGTGACATTTGCAGGCGAAGCATTACGATTACTATTGTTGATCGGCCGTTGTGGTACTTGAAGTCGGACCTACTTAAAATTAATAAGCTCATAAAATTGAATGTTTCATCCACATTCAAAGGAGTGTTCTTACTTTCAAAACAAATAATTTACCTACCCGAAGAACATCAAGTGGACTACCAACTATCAGTCCAGCTACACCAGATGTATATCCTTTTTTAGATTTATTCGATTAAATAAGATTCTGATTTTCTTTTATATATGAGATTAAATCTAATTTTTTGCAGATTTACCGTATCGCGCTGCTTATAGTACCCAGGATCTTGATCAAAATGCTCGTCTCTGAAATTGAATCGTATTCACGGACTCGTCGATTTAATTGGTGAAGAAGCGGCACTTTATGATATTATTTTCTGGGGGTACTGTAAGCAGCGCTAACGGTAATCGATTAATGAACTGCTAACCTGCGAAAAAGTCATTGAAACCGGCCGTTGCTGATTAATTAAGTTAATTTAATATTTGATATTAAAAAAATTAACGACGACGCATATAAAAACGTACACATTTTATAACCAATTTTATTTTATTTAAAGATCAGACGGAATAAAAATCTTTTCCTATACATAAGCTAACAATATGGTGCGACTACTGATCATACTGTATTCGTTCTATGTTCAAGAATCCAATTGAATGCTTTCCTATTGGCTAACGATTGATTGAAAACAATTAAAAACGTATCAAGATACGTGAACGCAAATTACTTTTTATTATAAATACCCCCACTATTCTGTTTTTTGTTAATACTAACTTTTTGACTTATAAATATATTTTCTTGTGGAATTTTTAAATTATCCCACAATAATTCTTCTCCCTTTGAATTTTATAAAGATGTACTGGAGTGCATTATCCATCGTCATTTGGCAAATTGTCCAAAGCGGAAAAAATTTCTGAGCAACCCTTTGTAATAAAAAAACTAATTTTAGTTTTGATATATATAAATCGAATATAACATGCTAATATAATCTTTACATACCATATAGATAAAACACCACTGTCCCATTTGCTATTAAAGACAAAACAACATCAATTAGTCAGAAATATAATTATACATTACCAATTCACCTCGAAAAAAGAAATACCTGATTCCTCGATTTCAAAACTTCAACGATCCTTGGCTTCATAATACACTCTACCCCTTCTCGATTTGTATAATAATATTCTTGTATTTGTGGTCCATCTCCATTACTATTACCAGATGTTTCGTGTAATTCTTCCGGACAATCGGTGATGTAGAGTTGTATGTTAGTGAGGTATGTCCAAGTCATACCAAGAGATGGTTTTGTAATAGTGTACGCGAATGCTGATGCCTGGTTGTTTGGATAAGCATACACTGATGTGTTTATCACCTTTGAGAAAAGATTGTAGTTATGTGATCTAATATATATATATATATAGAGAGGATACATTGTCACTATAATTATTACTATATACCAGAATACCAATATTCCGTTTTTTGGCAAGGGTTAAGAGCATCCGCATCAGTGAAACCATTAGCGAATGACCTTTTAATATTATATTAAATGGACACGTTCAGGACAAATCATAATAAAATACTAATATTAAAAGAAAATGATTGAATTACCTTGACTCGTAGAGCTAGATAACAACGAAGACAAAACAGCGCTTATGGAATCAATAATGATCAGTTTCAAATTTTGATAAAATTCATCCGTATTATTTTCTTCCTTTAAAATATAATCAAAATAATAACTAAGATATATAATATGGATTCAGAATAATTAATATCAAAATTTTGTAAGCATACAAACTTGTTGTGGCCGAGTATCATCATTGTCATCATTATTATTATATTTCATCGCTTCAATAACGTCCATAACTGAGTACACATCAAAACATTTCACCACTCGAATGCAATCAAGTACTTTAACCCAATCCTTTTAAATCGTAAAAAGTTCTTATTAATGTGATTTTAATGCACGCAAAAAAAAGAATAAGAATAATAATAGTTATACAATTCCCCTATCCCGCGCACTCGCAAATCGATCGCTACCGAGAAATAGCGAGCCGACACGATCCGAAGAGAATCCGTTCAGAGTGTCAATATACAATACAGTATTGGTATCAGGTGACGATATCACAGTTGTTATTGCTGCAAAGAATGCCATCTATGCAATAATCAATAATTCTAAGTATTATTATTATTGTCACAAAATTATGTTTATAAGGTACCTGAGTTTTCCCAGTTCCTGTTGGACCACAAATCTCTGTAATCTCACCGGGGTAAATACCACCCGCCAATAAGTTATCGATGCTTTTTAAATAAATTCAAATTAAATTAAAAAAGAAAGAAAATAATCGAGCACAAGGTATCAATCCAATTACTTTTCACATCCTGTTGATAATGGAGTACAATTTCTTTGTTGCAAAAGATCAAGACCTGTTTGTGGGACGGCTTTGAATTTATCTTGAACAAATTTGCGAAAAATTTCTAGATCACGCGTCTATATATCCGATTTATTCTCAATGAGTATTAACTGTATTTAAAATTAAATGTAGCTAACTAGCTCGTTACCGGGGCGTAGAAATTTCGATTTGACAAGATATGTTCATTAGGAGTGAGCAATAAGTCACGTTCTATTTATAATATCGTGGTGAATTCTAGTATGACAAAACGCAAACAATAACTATCATGAAAATTTGGTTACCACAGCGAATTCCAATTAAAAGAAGAGCTTTAATAACGCGTCGATGTTCATATTCATAATTGTCTTCGCCTTCGTTGAACATCATTCCTTACAACGCGTCTGTATATTAATGAGTCATATGAGATCATTAATGAACATCCAATCGTAAACTTTTACCGTAAATGTCAAAAGTCGTGATTATCATCGGCTGTTCAAATTTCTCCAATTTATTGTCCTTTTCCAAAAGAAACACCTAAAAATGGAAATTGATCTCTTGTCCATTATTCTACTCTTCCTCATTGCTTTATTCACATATCTATCAATACGAGACGCGCCAAATCCCGACGTACACCCACTTTTACTCGCTTCACAATCGGACGTAGCGCGTGTACGCTATCCCGAAGAAACCTCAGTCTACAAGTCTTGTCAGGCGCAACACGGGTTAGCTTTTTTGAACGCTCCAAATAAACACATTAAAACTGTTGTTGATTTGTTTCAGAATGGCACGACATTGGGTGCGAATTTGTTTGGGAGTCGGGAAGGAGGAAATGGGTCGTATTCGTGGGTATGTGTATTTTCTTTAAATAGAGAATTTTTAATACAATATGGTCTTGGAATTTTATGAAATTATTAATTATCTTTTTTTCTTTATTAATATACACGCGATGATTCTAGCAAACATATAGTGCGAGTTCATCAAATTTCTATCTTCTATATTAGTTTCAATAAGTATAATGTCATGTATCAATAATTATTATAATAAATTGCATATAGATAAAGTGAGTGAAAGAGTCACGAATTTTGGATCTGGACTGATAAAATTTACTGGACTATCACCTCACAAACACGAGCCAGTTGGAATTTTCATGAAGAATCGGCCAGGTATTTTCTCGTCATGTTGTTTTAATGTAATGAATAAAAACTATTAATTTATGTTTATTGTGTTATGTTATTAATAGAATGGGTGATTGCAGATTTGGGTAATCTTTCTTTCCATATTAACTTTATTGATTAATTAAACAAGCATTTAACAAGAAAAAACGAATTAATTCATATTTGTGATGACGATATTAATGATAATGGTGTTAGCTGCTGCACATTACAGCTTGATCTCAGTACCCCTACCCTCCATTCGTCCACGACTTCAAGATATAATCAGCGCAATAAACATCACCGAACTCACCACGATCATAGTGTCTTCCGAAACATTGCCCAATGTGTTTTCCGCGTCGCCTTCTACCAAAACTTTAAAATACATAATAGTAACGACACCTGCTGTTAGCCCAGATATGGTACAGAAGGCTAAATCTTTAGGACTCGAGTTGATGACTTTTGAGGATATTGAAAGATTGGGTGGTGAAGATAAGATTGAACATGTGCTCCCAGGTAACTTTCGATGGAATGCATCGATTCTTCCATCTGTGATGCTTTTTGGATTATGATGTTGTCATGCTTATTAATCATAAATAAATAATAGAGCCAGAAGATGTCGCGACGATTGTTTTCACGAGCGGGAGCACATCTGGTGTAATTATTATGAAATAATCTATTATTATTCTATTTTAAGGATCAAATTTAATTATATTAAAATATCATATATAGGAACCACGAGCAATCGAGCTTACACATTCGGTAAGTATATTCGTTAAATTTATATCATATATTTAAATAATTCGATTTTCCTTACACTCTTTTCTCATTTGCTCTATCTAATAGAATATTGTTGCCGGTGTAGGCATGTGCTATAAAAAATAAATAAAGAAATTTAACAAAAGATCTACCTAAGTAATAATCATTCATCATCATTATAATTATCTAGCTAGTATTACGGCCGTTGCTCCAACACTACATAAACTAAAACCCTCAGATGTACATTTATCATATTTACCTTTAGGTATTTATTATCATTCCATATTTGAAATTTATTAAGTGAAAGAGACTTAACTTTTATTCTTGTTCTTTTTTTAAAAGCTGCCATTTTCGAGAGAACCTTTGTCGCAGCACTTTTATTTGCGGGAGCATCGATTGCTTTCTATAGTGGTGATATCTCCAAAATCCTTAATGATGCCCAAGAAGTAAAACCTACGGTGTTTACAAGGTATACAAACAGCTATTAAAATTATAAAAATTAAATGACTCGGTTATTTATTTGATTTTAATTCCCTCCCATCAAATAATACTCGATTTTTTTTTGAAAGCGTTCCACAATTCTTGACAAAATTCCACGAGGAAATCTTACAAAAACACGGCAATCGCCCATTCTTCAAAAAGGCACTCGAGATAAAACTGGCTTGGTTGAGAAAGGGAAGATTGGTGGGAAACTCGATTTGGGATGCACTGGTCTTCAAAGACGTGAAAACAAAATTCGGGGGACAAATTCGAGTTATCATTTCTGCTGCAGGTATTATTAAGTTTATTTCCAAGTATTATATGTCTATGCCTTCTATCTAATATGTATTTTATAAAAGGACCTATTTCACAGCCTACACTCGACTTTCTTCGTGTTACTGTCGGATCTCAGGTTATACAAGCATACGGGTTAACAGAGTGTAGTGGAGCAGTCACCGCGAATAGCTTCCACGATTACCAGTTAGCCGATGGTTTTTTGGCACATGTTGGACCTCCTATCACTTGTAATGAAATCAAGTTGATTAATTGTGAAGCTAAAGGATATAATGTCGAAGATATACCTAATCCGAGAGGCGAAGTAAGTATATTATTTTATTTAATTTCTTGATGTTGGATACGAATAAAATAAGCGATGTTTTGGGCTATATTAATAATGTGGATTTAGATATGTGTACGTGGTTCTAACGTGATGAAGGGATACTACAAAAATCCGGAAGAAACGGCAAGAGTGATCGATTCTAATGGATGGCTTCATACAGGCGATATTGGCATGATTCTTCCAAATGGTACTTTGAAAATAATTGAACGTAAATCGGTAATGTGTTTTTTGGTTTTTTTTTTTTTGGTTTTTTTTTTCTCTGATTTTCTGATTTTATTTAAACTTTTTTAATAATTAGAAAATTAAACGGGAAAATCCAATTAATAATTGACATGATGTTAGTTATTGGGGGCAATTCATAGTTATATTTAAAGTTCTTGATTTTTTCACTCAATACTTACAGTCCACACCATAAATAATGTGAATTTTGGTTTTTCTTGTGCTTAAAAATTTGCTTATTTATGCTAATGGTTTTTATATCGCATAAGGGTAGAATACAATTATTGCACTCGTCCCCCATTTCCTAAATTTTTATATTTTCAGTCCTCACTACTATTAAATCTGGGTCCTGCGCTGTATAGTACCCCTCCTTGTAAAGTACTTTCCGGTTTATGCAGATATTTTTATGGTGTGTAATTTTATTTATAGACTTGTATCACTTAAATTAACAAGAAACTATCATCTATGTAGTATTGTGAAAGAATCGTAATATCGGGCTAATGATGTTAACAGTCAGAGTACCCTCACTGAGAAGGCTATTTGATGGCTTAATGGGAATATTTTTCACTCTATAGGATAGACAAGTCAGATGGTTAAGAAAAAAGAAAAACGTTGGCTGATGGAGGTGGACCTGCTTACGTGAACGCTCATTCTCCCACCTCCTTGCTAATTCGTGATCGGGTTCAAGTTCCTAGCAATGGGTAATTAGCACTAACACGCCATAATTCCATCTGATTTCTCATCCCATCCAAACATCAGCCAAACTAAAAGATTGCCTGTGTGCCCTGATGGGACCAGTGTTAGATCGACTAAAAGACTTTTAACATCAGCCAAACTAAGAGATTGCCTGTGCCCTAACACTGGTTTTGTGGCCCGACTAAAAGACCTGTATGATAAGGAAACTAAAAGATCCCTACCACGCCACTTATGCATTTTCAATAAAAAAAAGATTTTCACATGCCTTTTTATATTTGTCAAAGAGAGCTTGTGCCTTTTTCACGTTTCTTTCCTTGGTCACTTCTGATAATGTTCACGAGACTTTTTCGATACATATCTATTTTTAGTTGAAACGGTTCTTCGTTACTTTCGTTTAAAAACCCGGTGATATTCCATTCGGTTTGTTTACGATTAAAATATTCGTGTATTGTGGACGCCTGCTCCAATAATCTTCTTTCGTATTTTTATAAAGTTCCATCTGCCATGCTCTTTTGACGTGACGATAAGCTAACGGCGAAGACTACGATGACGATGATAATATATATATCTTCTTCACAAAAAATTCCGAATGTTGGGGTCCATTAAAGCGCGCATACTTGTTTGTGCGCGTTTACTAATTTCCCCCCAAGTTCTGATTGGACACAAGTAATTTCCATCGCTGATTGGTTGACTGCACACCGGGTCTTCTAAATCAATCAATAAAGGTGCATGAATTTTTGATCAACCCGGCAAAACAAACCCGATACAAGAAAATTAAATGAATGTTTAAAAATGTCGGGGACAATGACATACAATTTTTGCTCCAGTCTCTTTGTCCTGAATCTACCAGGGCGACCCCCAAAAGTTGGGGTAAACCAATCAAATCGCAAGATATGAAAATATTAATAAAGTTTCGGTTAGGGTTAGGGTTAGAGTTAGAGTTAGAGTTAGAGTTAGAGTTAGAGTTAGAGTTAGAGTTAGAGTTAGAGTTAGAGTTAGAGTTAGAGTTAAAACACAAATAGTAGTTTCATAAGCAAAATTTCGAGATACAAGCTATTTTTCAAAAATAAGCATGTGGGTGAGTCAACAGAAACCAAGCAAATTATATATGTATTCTGTTGACTCACCCCCATGTTTTGAATTTTTTCGTTACACATTGATCTTGCGATTTGATTGGTTTACCCTTAAATCACATGACCCAGACATTTTTTTGCCATGGCTAGGGTACTCGATAGTTTTTTGATGATGTCAGCGATGATGACCAATTGAATTGCAAGATCAACATGTAACACTAAAATTCAAAATAAAAAAAATGTTGCGAATTTTTGTTTGCTAAATAACCTTGACCCAGATCTAAACTCTAACCCTTTTCGCATAGTATCCTAGCCACGATGAAAAAATGTGTCGATCACGTGATGATGATAATTTCCGACCAATAAGAATGTGCAAAAATATGTACAACCAATAGAAATGTAGATAATCTTTGCTCGAATACTTGATCTTCAATATAAATCGGATATTTTATGGCCCTGGTCTTCATCACGTGACAGACACTTTATTTTCGCCGTGGCTAGGGTACTACTTTTCGCATAGTGGCATCCGATATGCCCCTTAAAATTATGCACCAATCAAATCGCAAGATCAACGTGCAACGCAAAAATAAACAACAAATGCTGTTTTTGAAATATTAAAACTGCCTATGCAAAATTTCACATTCTCTTTTGTTATACGATAACCCTAATAACCCTAACTCTAAACCTAACCGAAATTCTATTTAATATTATACATTATAATTTTAAGGGGGATCGGAGATCACGGGATCTGGAAAGTTTTTTTCGCGTGACCTATGTACCTCCCACCCGATTTGGGAACGTCTAAAGCCTGGTTCATCACGTGATACAAAACTATATAATTAAAGATTGATTTTAAGCTTAGGGTTAGAGTTGTGATCAAGCTTGTATATAAAATTGCCTCCCCGACATTTTTTATTAGTATACCAAGATAAATTTAAGCATCTGTTTTCCGTTATTTTTCATGTTTTGGCCCGTTCTTCGGATTTGTTTTGCCGAGTTGATCAAAAATTTACGCATCCTTATTGGTTTGTGTTTCGGATGGACCAGGCTTTAGACATTCCCCAAATCGGGTGGGGGCTACATAGATGCACTCCCACTTTTCTACTACTTTTCGCATCGTTAACCACGTTTCTTTCATTAAAACGGATAAACGACTAATAATTGCATTAATTTTTTTTAGATGTTTGAATTTACCGTGACGGAATATCTTGATAAAACGAAAAGTAAAGATTCGACCATTCTCGGAATCTTAGAATATGCACGATCAAATTCCAAATTATCCGTGGCTACAATTAATGATTTGAAGGAAGATCTATACGCAATACTACGGAGCTAGAGACAAATGTAACATTCACGTGTTTACCAAAAACAAGGCTACGAAGATTTTATCTAACTTCGACTCAGTATTCTCCACTGCCGAGGTGAAGCAATTCATTAAGGATCTTGAATATCATGAGGAAGCGCGGGTAAATGTCACATCCACCTACACAGTTACAGTTTTAAAGGTAAGTTTATGAAAATTCGAAACCAACCTTCACAATAGACTTACCAAAAATTTTTAGGATCAGCAAGTTCATTGATCAATTACGAGAAACAGCCAATTTAGAAAATAGACAGAAGCACCCTGTGCGTGAGAAAATTACTAGATCGTTAGATGTCGAAGAAGATCGTTTGTACAAACGTCAACGTAGAGATAATGAACTTGAGGATTTATTAATGTTTAGCAACAAAAATGCTTTCTCATGTAAATTTTTTGGAAGTATGCATAGGTTTTAGATTATGAAGATCCTCCAATTGAATGGGAATTCAGCACACCGAAACCAAGTTGGCTAGACAAATAGTACAGGCGCATCAGTCGTTAATTTCCGATGCTTTTAATTATGATAAAAAAACTCAATATGAATTATCATTAAAGTAAGTGTTTGGTAAACATTGATTCGTTTGTTATTTGTGGTTTCCAGGTTCTAATAAAATTTTTAGTCCAATCTGGTGGAGAATTATCGACCTGAAGCAGAGAGATGTTTACAGTTTCTTGAAAAGGTAAATGATAGAAATTAAGTATTTCAATTCTTTATTTGAAATTCATTAATATGTACTTTGATTTTCAGCTTGAAAATAATCAATTGCGTACCATTGGAGAAATTGTAAAGCTCAAAGGAACACATGGGGCAATCCTCGAACTTCAAAAATTAAATACTTATATTTATTATATACTATTAGATAACTATCAAGTTACTATAGAATATCAATACTGTATTGTTATAGAATTGTTCTACATTAAATAAATATAATATTTATTAGTAATAGTGAGAGCCTATCTAATAAATAGAAGAAAATATACTATATAATAATTTCAAAATATATTAATTATATCAAGATTAAGTAATTATAAAAATATCATTATCAGATATTGATTGAACACTATCACAATTTAATTTTTAAAACTCATTTTGGTATTATTATTAATTATGACTTTAACTAATCATTTATTTATATTTTTAGTTATCAATTTTGATTCAGTTACTTTAGGTAGTGTTCCTATGAACCGAACCGAACCGGACTTTTGCCCGAGTTCGAGTTCGGTTCGAAATTCGAACCGAACTCGAA